ACATCCCAACGCCTGACCAGAGGAAGAGGGTTCTCCGGCCAAGACGGTCCACGAGGAATGCCGCGCTGAGAGCGGCGCCGAAGTTGAATATTTGAAGGAGGCCGTTGATGAGTGTCTGGTCGAATGTGTCGGTGATGCCTACGGTGTTCAGCACCAAAGTCAAGTAGTACGACACCACACCTATGCCGTTCCACTGAGCCATTGCGCCGACTAATACGGCAATCAGGGTCCGTTTGCGGTTGCCCGGGGTGGAGACGAGGGCCGCCCAGCCCGTGGTTTCCGCCAGCTTTTCTTGTCGGATTGTCTGTACGATCTCGGCTATTTCACGGCGGACGAGGGGGGTGTGGGCTTCGGTAGGGTCTTGGGCGCCGGAGTGGTATCGAGCGAGAATTGCGGCTGCTTCGGTTGTTCTCTCCTTTGCGATGAGCCATCTGGGAGACTCTGGTACCATGAAGTAGAAGCAGAGCTGGACGATGGGGAAGCCGGCCTGAAGTATGCTGGGAATTCGCCACGACCATTCTGTAGCGTAATCCTGGCAGCCGAATGTAGTCCATGAAGCTAGAATAGCACCTAGAGAAATCCTGGTCAGAACCTTTATCATTTAATGTTTGATGTCGGCCTTCAGACTCACCTAGGTAGTACATGGTCCAGTATGCCGAGGTGTACTTTCCGCGGTGTGTCGGATAAGCCAACTCTGCAATGAGCAGTGGACTTGGATGGACCACGAACATGCCTCCAAATCCGACGACGAGTCTAGAGACAATGAACATCGGCAGGTTGATCGAGGTCGACTGGATGATCGTCGCAACGATGATGAGGATGATGCCCGAAAGGAGGACAGGCTTTCGGCCGAAGCGGTCCGCGAGGTATCCGATGATTGGAAGAGCCAGAACGGAACCGATGGATTGCGCGGCGTTGACAACACCCAGTTTCACACCGGTTGGGTGACCGAAATACTCTCGCCATTGCTGAAGTGACTGCAGCCCGTTCATCAACGATCCTGTGAGTTGCGCCTGTTAGACGTTGAAAGGCCTATGCGAGAGGCTTTTTCAACTTACCATCATACCCGGCAACCGATGATGACAAGAGAGGAATCAGGAGAAGCAGGTTCAACCTCAACAGGTGCGATTGCTGGAACCAATACTTGTCCGTCTTGGGGAGGACCTCGGCCAAAGCGGCGCCGACAATCTGCTCGTCTTTCATGTTTGCTTAAATCCGAGGTCGCGTGCCTGGCATCGACTAACAAGAATATGAAGACATCCAAGTTGGCATGGACTTGATGAGAAACCAAAAGGCTCAAAGAAATTGCCCGATGCGAGGTCACGCGGGTCCCGCAGGAGATTTATATCTACATGGACGAGGAACGAGGTGATGATTCCCAGGTAGCGTGATGTTGACACGCTCACTCACCCAGACGGCTGGTAATTGGAACCTCCGCGCCCAGCTAGCCACTCCGCATGTTCCCTCTTACCCCACATTAACGTGGTTGATGGGTCGGTGGAATACGGGGGGGATTTGACCCATGGGGTACAGCGCGGTGCGACCTGTTGCATCATCGTACTTGCGGTGCTGCATCTGTTTGCCCACGAGTCATGTTTGCGGAGAGAACATTCCCAGAGCGGCTGTTTGGCAGTGCGGGGACGACGGACGACTGTCACCCTCACTAAAACCTCACTAGACGGGGGCTGTTGGTGCCTAGCCCATGCAGGCTCTGCCCGGCAATAAGACGCATGCGTGGAAGGCTGGGCAGGGGTGAGCGAGGCCCGGCTGCTGGGATCTTTCGATGATCGGGTGAGGACGAGGTTGAACCGGGACCTGTTGCGACATCGTGATGTCTTCAAAGTTGGATTTTGGTTATGATGGCTGTGATGATGATTCTTTTTGATCGGAGACCGGCGTTTGGTCTCGGACATCGTCCATGCTTGCTTGGCATCCGGCCCACAGGAGGCCGGCCGTCTGAGGGACTTATGAGGTGCACACGCAAGCCAGAATGAAAGTGGATTCCGCTGATTATCGTCCATGAAGAACGCAACGTGTAGTTTCTACCTGAGAAAATCAAGAGTGTAAGTCATACGACTGTGCATGAACGTGAAGGCACAAAGTTGTATGTCGGCGAATAAGCTCTCGAATTTTCCGTTTGATGGCGAGGCCAACTTTTTTTTTAAGAGGACTAGAGTTGAAAGTTATCAAAGTCTGAAGAAGGCTCAACTGGGCAGAAATCCGTTTGAATTATGATTAGTTGAATACGTTCGTCCGTAGTTATTTAGTCAAGCCAATGTTTCGAGCCTCTATAGCCAATTCACTTCTTACAAACCCAAGGTAACGCGCATTGTTGATTCCAAGGTGTGCATACTTTGATATCCGAGATAGTTATTCAAATCTTTTACAAAATTCATAGCACTAGTACATTCTGAGGTCCAGTCTCTAAAATCAACTTGATCATATGCGTATGGAAGCACACAGGCTCAATTCACTCAGTCGATTCTTTCAAAAGCACTTGGTGTTCAGCTTGATTGATTTGAGGCAGATTCAGCACAAAAGTTTTGTCATTATCTAGCATAAAACATTTACCGAGCGGTGTAGCCACCATCGATGATAAAGTCAGCCCCCGTAGTGTAAGAGCTGGCATCACTGGCGAGATACAGGTAAATGCCCTTCAACTCCCTGGGATCAGCATCCCTGCGCAGCGGTGTCAGGCTGAACCACTCCTCCTTCATGTCGAATGGGCAGTCACCCGAGATGGCCGTATCAATGTAACCAGGGGAGACGGAGTTAATACGGCCTCCCCACTTAGCCCACTCGACAGCCAGAGACTTGGCCAGGTGAATCTGCAAAAGCTCGGTGTTAGTCCGGGCGGTGGCATGTCAAGCAAACAAAATCGAACTTACGGTTCCGGCTTTGCATGCGTTGTAGCAGCTCTGCTCCTGCGGGACATTCGCGGCGTGGCCACTCATCGACGCCGTGATAATTCCGACGCCGCTCTTCTGCTCGCGGAAGACCAGTCCGGCTGCCCTCATGCAGTAGTACGCGCCGTCAAAGTCCACTGCGCGGACGTGGTCCCAATCCTCGACCTTGTCGTCGAGACCGCCGGCCTTTGAGGGCACGCCGGCATTTGCGATCATGACATCCAGACGGCCAAAGTCCTTGACAGCGTCCGCCACAGCGGCCTCGACGGCGGCGTAGTTGCGGACATCAACCTGGTAGGACTTTGACTTCACGCCAAAGTCCTTGATGAGGCCCTCGGTGAGGGAGTTGGCTGCCTTTGAGGATGTGTGGTACCAAATGGCGATCTGCGGGTGGTTCAGCCATGTGCGATGTTCAGGGGATTTGGGAAGAACGGTCGTACGTTGGCGCCGGCTTCGGCGAGACCCTTGGCGATCTCATGACCAATGCCGCCTGCTCCACCCGTGATGATGACGGTGCGTCCATCGAGGCGGAACTGCTTGAAGACGCTGTCTTGAACGGGAGGGTTGGGAGCCCGAATAGACTTTCTCGTACCGTTTGTTGTGCCGTTGGTGGCCATGGCGATGTGAGTTAGGGTTATTTGGGTATCAAAGAAGGACTAGTGTTGCTGTAGACAGTATGCTGATGTCTTGACGAAGGAGATGTGTGTGATCTTAGAATGGGAGTTCTTCTATCGAGACTCTGCGACTAGGGTTCAAATAGAAGTCATGCGTGATTTCTTCTTGAGACCTACATGGTGCCCGGGAGATCATGCCAAGCTCTTCGAAGCCATCCCCGGATGTTGGCTCGGGTGGCCCGCACCGTGGGCCGCGGGCCTACGTTCCGGACGGAGTGCTCTCACCCTCACCGACGCACTTTACGTGCCAAGCACTATCCGTGGTAACTACGCCAAAAGACTCGACTCAACATGGAATGATATTCTATGCAGAGCCGCTAATTTGGCAACTCCTCGACACTGTCAATCAAGAGATCATATCTGCCTTCGCTCCGTTTAGCAACAAACTCCCCGTTGACCATGTCGTTAGTCTCCGCTCTATGTAGTGCCTTTTCCATAGTATCCTCAATACCGGCTGCAATATGTCTTTTCGCAACCCTTGTCCGAGCCAGTGCCGATTCAACTCTGACCAGCCAACGATCATCCACCAGCGGAGCAATCTGACTCCAGGGCTCCTCGTCCGCAAGCAAGTAATTCCCTTCAACGATGCAGACCTCGACATTGGCATCGACCGTGAACCCGCCAACGACGGGGTCTTTGACTTTGTGGTCAAATGTAGGGGCCAAGACCGGCCGTTCGCCTGCAGACGCCCGCAGTTCGCGGACGATCTCGACGACAGCGTGTCCGTCAAAGGTCCACGGTGCGCCGCGCCGGGCGATCGCTTCCGCAGCATTTGGAAGGGCGCGGAGTGTTGCCAGGGGTAGGTGAAAGCCGTCAGCGGACATGACGACGGATTTGGGGTGGGGTCCGGGGTAGTTGTTGATGGCGGAGACGACGCGTTGAGCGATGGTCGTTTTGCCGGAGCCCGGTGGCCCCGCCAGTGCGATAATCAGACGGGGATGGGTGTCCGGTGCGTTGGAAGAGGAAACCTTCTTTTCTTCCCATTTGGAGAGAATCCGTTGGAACAATGATTGGTAGGTGGATTCCATGGCGATGGTGTGGGTGTGGTCTAGACTTCGTCGGGCTGTTGATGGGCGCCTTAGAGCGGTAACATTGACCCTAGCAAAGCCAACAATGGCACACCAACGAATTGAATCCAAGAAATATTTGGATGGGAAAGCGAGAGGACAAATGGTACTCGAGCGGAGGACAGGACATGCTGATTGGCGCACATCGGGCAACAGTCGCCCGACTCAGCTCGGCGTTTGGCGGCGGCCCCGCTCCGGCCGGCGCCGCAGTACCCCGCGTCGACGTCACGGCCGTCTGCCATCTGCACAAATAAGATGCTTCCAAGCTTGGTAGAGCTCAAACGGACTGACGATATCCCAAGTCTCACTGCCATCAGGGTTCGAACCGAAATTAAGCTAACCATACCTCAAAGATGTCCGAAATCGTAAGCTAGATTGTCAACATCCTGGCTTCGCAGCCAACGCTAACCTTCCGCAGAACCCTGCCTTCGTGCTCCACTCCATCAAGAACGTCTCGTTCGAGAACCGCGAGGTGCCCAAGCTCAGAGATGAGTACGATGTGCGCGTTCACATTGAGCAGACGGGCATCTGCGGCAGCGATGTCCACTACTGGCAGCGCGGCCGGATCGGCGACTTCATCCTCGAGTCGCCCATCGTTCTCGGCCATGAGAGTGCCGGGACCGTTGTTGAAGTCGGAAGCAAGGTGAAGAATGTCAAGGTCGGCGACCGTGTTGCTATTGAGCCCGGTGTGCCATGCAGGCAGTGAGTTTCTGTCTTACTCTACGTCGAGGATAGACATGTGCTAACTCATCAAAGCTGCGATCACTGCAGAGCTGGCGCATACAATCTCTGTGCAGACACCGTCTTCGCGGCGACACCTCCATGGGACGGTACTCTGCAGAAGTACTACATTGTTGCCGGCGACTACACCTATCCTATCCCGGAGCACATGACTTCCGAGGACGGCGCGCTGGTGGAGCCGGTTGCTGTTGCGGTGCAAATCTGCAAGGTTGCTGAGTTGAAGGGCGGCCAGACAGTGCTTGTCTTTGGCTGCGGGCCCATCGGTGTTCTTTGCCAGGCCGTGGCCAAGGCCTACGGCGCCAGCAAGGTCATCGGAGTGGATATTTCTGAGTCTCGCGCGGCGTTTGCCAAGGACTTTGCAGCCGATGATGTCTATTTGTCGAAGAAGCTTCCCAATGCTCCTGAGGACCCTGTTGATGCTTCTCGCGCCATTGGCGAGAGGATTCTCAGGGACTCCGGTCTCGGAGAGGGGGCTGATGTGGTATTAGAGTGCACGGGTGCTGAGCCGTGCATCCAAGCTGGTGTTTTTGCTACTAAGAAGGGTGGGACTTATGTGCAAGCTGGGATGGGCAAGGAGGTAAGCATAGCTCAGCCGGTATCTGCAGACAGACCGCTAACTTTACCCAGAATGTTGTATTTCCCATTACAACTGCGTGTATTCGCGCATTGAACATCAAGGGTTCGATCAGGTACACAACGGGATGCTACCCCGAGGCTGTCAACTTGGTAGCGTCAGGAAAGGTCCACCCAAGGAAGTTGATCACTCATCGTTACAAGTTCGAGGAAGCCGTCGAGGCCTTTGAGGTTGTAAGACAGGCGAAGGAAGACACTTTGAAGGTCGTCATCCAAGGTGTACCAAAATAGAGGCTAGCATAGATGAGAAATTGAAACGTCATGATGATAACATGTTTACAGTCGTAGCAAAATGTTGATCTATCTGGCATGACCCCTGGCATGAACCTATTTCGCTTTCTGTCATAGCATATCTGCACTCACAACACACCTTAGAAGTTTGTCATTCACGTCGTAAAGTATTCATGTCAACTGAAGTGTCGAGTTATAATGCCAAGCCTAGACCTACCTAAAATATGTGTGTATGTCGTGTTTGAAAGCAAACCTGTGGCTTTGCCCAAGATAATCATGATAATGAACATATGTCACCCTGGGCTTTCCCGAAGAAATTGATCGAAGTTGCTTGTCCCCTGTCGATGAGCCCTCTGATATCGAGCAAGCTTAAGCCTGAGCAAACATCAGCATCTGCGGTCAGGTGCACAAGTGTCCCGGCATACCCAAACTTCGGACAGGGGTGGCAGATGTCCGCTTCCCCAGTTTCCCCGCACCGAAGCAACCCCTTCCGCTCCGGACAACAGTCGACCGAATGCCTGATTCGCCGCCAAAAGCCACGACGGCGGATGGACCCACCCTCCCGCGAATGACCCGGTACAAAATCCCCCGGCACTTGCCTGGTGTCTCTGCCCTGGTCCATAGTCACACCATTCGGCTCGAACAAGATCACCAAGTATCAAGAACGTAATCTCATAACCGAATCTATACCCCAAACGCAGCAGCAAACATGGTCCTCCCGAGCCACCCGAACCCCGCAGCGCCGGTCGCCTCCCACTTCGACCTCGCCGGGAAGACGGCCATCGTCACGGGCGGCACCCGAGGCATCGGCCTCGAAGCCGCCCGCGGTCTTGCCGAGGCCGGCGCTAAGGTTGCCATCACGTACACCAGCACGCCTCCGGAGGAGGCCGATGCCACGGCCGCTGCCCTGTCCAAGTCTAGCAACGGCGTGCTGGTGAAGGCGTACAAGTGCAATGTCAAGGTGCGTTCTGAAGTCGAGGCCGTCATTGAGGCCGCAACGAAAGAGGTCGGCGGCGGAAAGCTGGACATCGTCGTGGCCAACGCCGGTATTGCGGACCACATCCCTGCTATCGAATACCCCGAGGACAGGTTCCGTGAGATGCTGGACGTCAACTTCCATGGTGCATTCTGGACTGCGCAGGCGGCGGCCAAGGTGTTTGAGAGGCAGCTGAAGGCGGGCAGTGACGGACGGGGCAGCATCATCTTCACCGCATCAGTGTCGGCTATTTTGGTGAATGTGCCGCAGAGGCAGGCGGCTTACAACGCGAGCAAGGCTGCGGTGGTGCACCTTGCCAAGTCGTTGTCGGTGGAGTGGGTTGACTTTGCGCGGGTGAACTGCGTGTCTCCTGGGTTTATTGCGACGGACAGTGAGTTCTCTTGGTCGGACTTAACTGAGCGTAGCGTTTTGCTGACAGATGCAGTGCTTTCGGTGCACCCCGAAGAGTGGAGGAAGCAATGGTTCTCCATGATTCCCGGAGGCCGACTTTGCGAGCCCGCTGAGCTGAAGGGCTCGTATGTGTACCTCGCCAGCAACGCCAGCAGTTATATGACAGGTATGGTGTCCTGTTTGATCTTGGAAACTTCAGTACTAACGATGGTCAGGTGCCAATCTGGTGATTGATGGTGGATACACATTGCCTTAAATTAGAGGGACATCTTTCAATTGAAAAGTTCAAGTAAAAAGAACGCCTACTTTTCCTGTGCTATGCCGACTACTTCTCTTGTGGCTCTAATCTACCTTACCGTCCTCGCTTCTGTCTTCGTCGCTACTGTTGTCTCCGACAGGAGCAATCAATATCCGCAGAAAATATAGCCGCGCAGACACAGGAAAGTTAGGCGATCTCTGAGTAAAATGCGTGCTCGACTCAGGGAATTGAAAGGCGCCCAGGGTCATCTACACTCTTTCGCAGAAGACTTTATTCAGCGAAGGATTAACGTAACGCTCGAGAGTTTATTAGAAGGGTGGGAGGAGATTGCTGCATTAAGATCTCAAACTAATAACAGGTATTAAAAACCTAGAAGTTTCGTTATCATAAGCTCACTATGCAAAGCATAAGGAAAGATCAAGTCTAAGTCCGGTTCAGCCACGGACGGGCCTGCTTGTACATAATACAGATCAACAAAATCAGAAAAAGCAAAAAAAAAAAAAAAAAAGATCTCAATGCGAGGCGGATTCTAACCGCTATTACTCCCCGAGGTGGGCTCGAACCACCAACCTCCAGATTAACAGTCTGACGCGCTAGCCAATTGTGCCATCGGGGATTTGAGATCTGATTGGATGGTTGCTGTGAACCTCTGAGCCAGCTAAGTAGGTATGCACCAGCCCCACCCATGCTTTCTCGCTTGCTTAGGTACCTAGCGGGTCCGTCAACGGTTGCAAATCAGGCGACTCTGAGGTAGTCCTTTTGCAGGGTGCATGCGCGTTATCAATAGAATCATAATAATCATTCAAGAAGGCCGGAAGCCCCGATGGAGCAATCTCTTCCATTTTTTAAATCAAAAGCGTTGCTTACAGCTGATTCGCTTCAATCTTCTATGCACCCTTGCTTCTCAGTCATTTTCAGCTGACTTGAAGAGGCGAAGTAAGCTCGGCTAAGCAGCCTGCAGCTCGAATCTCACCTCCTGTCTTACACGTAACTTGGCGCGTAGCTGAATCTTTTATCATACAGCGCTGTAGACAAAGCCAGAGTATTGCTTCTGCGTCATCCGCCTGTTTCTCGGGTTTTAAACTTATCAACTCTTTTCCGTCGTAGATGATCTCACTACTCTTGTGAACCAACCCCGTGGACGTCTGCAGGTTATTCTTTTCCAGCAACAATCATCACAAACGCCTTTCAACTTTGATGAAGGATCATCGTTAAACTGGACGCTCACGCGTGAACTTTGCGCAACACCTTATTCTGTCAGATTCAAAATACTGCTCATAATGACGGAGCATGGCCAACAATTTATCGGAGTAAATGATGTTGCTGGCGACGTTCATCCCGAGGACAATGAGACCAGCCCTCTTTATTTTACAGGCTGCACCACTTCAGCCCAAAGCATCCAAGACGAGTCTGCCTCAACGACCCACAAGGTCAATAGTGGCGTTAGGTCAGAGCACCCAGGAGGGTTGTGTTTGCAATATCAACGCCTTTCATCACATGTCGACCACCTAACCCTCACTGATGCCAGTGACAGCGGCGGGAAAGAGGACGAACCGAGGGCTCTTTCCGGCCAAGTTGTAGCCTGGAGTCCAACCTGGCTCCGACCCATTTCTTTGTTCAGTTTCATGGGCGTCTTCGTTGTTAGCACTGCTGCTCTTTGCGGCGTGTTCGCTTATTCCCAAAAACACGATGGTCTAATGATGATTCAAACGGACTACGCATCCGGATGGCGTTTCGGCCCGGTAGCAGGTAGGCGTTCCATCCGAAACTCAAAGATCAATTCTGTATTTTAACATGCGAGCTCCAAATTAGTTCTCACGGCCATTTCAGTCCTTTGGTCGAGAGTCGAGCTTCAAGCGCTTCGATACATGCCTTGGATTGCTCTAAAGCAGCACTTACCACGGAGAAAAGATGACCATGCGCTCGACTACACCGCAATGCTACCGCATGCAGTCCTTTTCGAATCGTTCAAAAGACGCCACTATCTTGTTGTTATTGCAACTCTCGCATCGCTTCTCATTAAAGCGCAAATCGTCCTTGCCCCAGGCTTGCTTAGCGTCAACAGCGTTCAAGTTGCGAATGAGGTCGATGTCAAAGTTCTCGACTCTTTCGAAGACAGATTCAACGACACAAGGGCTCTGGATGGTCGAGCATATCATTTGATCAAAGCATTGCAGAACTTCCAGCTGCAGCTTCCTTTCGGAGTTACTGAGGATACCGCGTACCAAACATTCATATCACGGAACGCAACTGCCAGAGGAAGCATAGACGCGCCTTTGATAGTCGAGGTTGATGGCCTTTTTGCAGACATGCATTGCTTGAAGCTTGAGTCCTTTACTTCCACTGAGCCTAAGCCTGAACAGCTACCAAACACCAACGAAACTCTTTACTACGTAGTTGAGTTGATGCTCCGATTTCAAGGGTGCGAGTCTGCTGTAAGAATTGAGAACCGGTTTCCTTGGCACGAAGTCCTTCTCAATTTCACGGGGTTCGAAGAATGGATTGGCTCATGGGGTGCTCAAGATGTCGACAGCGGACTAGCCAAGTCCAGACCATGCTCGAACCTACCCCAGCAACACAATCAGAAATTGTTTTACTCTACAAGGCTTAATGTGCCAGGGAAAACAAATATACCAGTCATTCAGAGTTTTGCGGCAATTCTTTGCACATCGACCTCTTCGAAGTCGAAAGTGCAATTAATAGACAACGGGGTGAGCCCCGAGGCAGTCCCTGTGCCAGAGAGCGACACATCATCTGTCTCAGCGGATCTTTGGGCCATGGCCGAAGAAAGCATGTACTCGCTCGGATCTGCGAACCTGTGCCGGCCGCATACCATATTTTTTGGCCCAGTCTGCTTGATGACGCTACTGGAAGCGGGTGAAGGCTTGACAGCCTCTGAGCTAGTGAGTAGAAAGGTCGGCGACATAGCATCCTACTCTACCGAAATGCTTTATGAGTCAACTCTGAACGTTTCTCGGACTCTTTTCCCCTTGCTTGGACACTATTTCCTGCGTGGAACTACCGGTCCGCAAGAAACCATTTTTGGTTCCACAAACGAAAACGTTAACAAGCTTGTTGTCAACCTTACTGTATGCGCATGCCTTGCGGTATTGAATGGAACTTTGGTATTACTTGCGATTCTACTTCTGCTTCAGCATGGCATAAGGAACGCGGTTTGGAAACAAAATCCTTCCACCATCCTTGGACACATGCTGTCTTTGAGGAGCGAAGCGAAACAGGCGGCGTCTCAATCAAACCTCACCGCGGCCACCTGGAGTGGCTGTGGTTTTACCCCATTTGTCCTGAGGACATGGGTAAGAGCGCTGTCTGTTATCTTTACGTTCTCAACTATCGCAGCCCTTCTGTACACACACCAACTCGCGGAGATCAACGGCCGGCTGATGATAAACACGAATGACGGCTATTCTCATTTACTTTGGACGTCAATGCCAGCGCTGATTGTGCTCATTATTTCTGTCTACGCGAATTGCTGCAACTCCGCTTATAGAAACCTTTCGACGCTGTACATGTTATCTTTCAAGGCCTGTCGCGTGCAGGATCTTGATACATCACATCTCGACATGTTAGGATTACGCACTCTCTTCGACTCTCTTGCACGACGAGCTTGGACTGTGAGCGCCTCACAATTTGTCACTATAATATGTGCATTCTTGACGACACTAGCGTCTAGCTTGTTCTTCACTGACGTGGATCCGGACTTCCGCGAACTCCAGCTCCAACAGGAAACATGGCTGGGCTCTTTCAGGATAGAGAACACCCCCAAAAGCCTCGACTTATCTACGAACAACCGAAAACTGGTCAGCAGCCTTCTATTGTATCAGGATGATCCAACATTGGTTTATCCGCAGAACACATATGCCAACCTGGTGTTTCCCGCTCTTGGAAGCGCGAAGGATGTGGACGTCTCCGAGAGAGTCTCACTCAAATTGGCAGCACCAGCTGTCAGATTGGGATCTGAGTGTTCAAGGGTCCAGCCGAAAGATTACAGAGTTGTCAATCATGGAGATCCCTCTCTCTTCAGAGACATATATGTGGCTGAGTTCATTACTTGCCCAGACGGTCGCCAAGCTGAGCTGACGAACGCAGTCAATGTGGGAGACTCCAGGGAGGATGGAGAAATTGCGGGGGGGCCTAGAGATATATACTTCGCCGAGGAGTTTGCCTCTCCGTATAACCTTTTTACGATAAATGACGTTTGCGAGCTGGGTCTCGAATCCGATGCTTACGGCCACTCCTATACGTTCTCGAGAACAGAAACTTATGCTTGGGGCGTCTACAACGCTTCCACTCATCAATTCGACAACCTCACAATATGGAGATGCAACTACACCTGGGAAGAAGTTGGCACCGAAGTGAACCTCAGGGTTCTCAACGGGGATTTTGTGTTGGATACGACGAGACCACCAAGGCCAGATGAGTCAACCACGAGACCGTTGAACCCCACCTTCAACATTCCACCGATTGGCTACGAGTTCGACGATCTGTCCGTGGGTAGCGCGCAGCCTTCAGTGGAACTGGACTGGGAACTCGGTGGTTCAAAGAATGATCAGTTCGCCGTCTTATTTGAACCGCATGGCCCATTCTCAGCCCAGGATCTTCGTGATCCAGACAAGGAACATGCCATCGTCAAAAAACTTGGTCACAACTACGCCCTCATCGCAGCTCAATTAGCCAACCTCGAAAATCGCTTCAGCATGACCGAGAGCTCTGCAGACCGTCCTCCTCCATCCAGCGGTCTTTCGAAGCTCAACGCAACGGCTACTGACAATGAGCCACGTCGCCTCAGACAGAATTCGGAGGTGACTTGGGCTCTTGTCACAATGGTGGCATTGATAGCCCTAACTAATGTCTGGACACTGCTCTCCACCGCATCTCGTCATTTTCTGGGGAAACCATTACCGCTGGATATGGACGTAAAAGGCCTTGCACCGGATGGTTTCAATAGTATGGCGGCGATGTTTGCCTTGCTCAAGGGCTCGAATATCAGGGCATATCTTCCGGACGACGTGGAACGGCTGTCTTCAAAACGGCTCTATGAACATATGGATGACTTGGAGTTCCGGCTTGGTTGGTTTTATCGGGCGGAGGACCAATCTAGAGTCTTCACCGTGGGTGTGATCGGAGATCCAGGTTTCATGTTCCTGGGATCGAAGGAGGGTACAGCCAAGGAAGAGCCGCTGGTTGCACCATAGCCTTTGTTGAAGAGTTTTGCTATCCGGGCGGGTAGTAGATGTACGGCGATAGGGATGATCGACGACGAAAACCACAACGACAGGGACAGATAGGAACAGCGAAGAAAGTAGTGTAAGTATCAACTGCTGGACCTTATATAGACAGGTAGTTATCCGCCCGGATAGCAAGACTCTTGTTGAATCCACGAACAGTATCGGGCTCGTCGGAGGAAAGGAAAGAATTCGTTGAGTTCGAAACCGTCGAAGGCTAGAGGCATCGCTGGTTTCGCTGATTTCGCTTCGTACGTCAATTCGAATGTGAACTGGTGACTGTGCGTTTGTGCACGCTTCGCATCGTTGTTGAATATCGAGGTCTTCGAGAAGGTTGCTGCATGGCGTAATAAGTGTCTGGCTGATAATTTTTCATTGCTCGAATTCGCCGGGTATTTCACCAGAGTGAGCAGATAAACACGGGAGGACAGACAGTCTTATTTATTTTATTCTGGGGGCCCGGCCAGGGTCGATGCAGACTTGGCTCGAAGTTGACGCGTTCCATGATCTTGGCTCGGTTGTGTGTGCCGTTGTTGCCGTGGGTGCCGTTCTTCCGTCCGGGGAAGGCTGAGAGTGCCGTGATAGCCGTCGTTAAACGTCTTAGCATTAGTGTTTGTGGGTAGCCAAGTTTATCCCGGTGGAGGCATCTGCAGTGACATGCATTTAAAGATCCGAACATCAAGTTTATTTTGACGTTTTGCGGGGAAGGCATTCTGATCGTGATGGAAATTCTTTTGGAAGTGTCACTTGCGAAGTAGGTTGCGACATATTTTGACTCAAGTCATGAGGATTATATTGTTTAAATACACTGACCCCATGTTCATATGTACACAGAATGACCAAGCGGCCCAGTGAATGCGCATCAGCTTACACACCACAGAAAAGAAATAGCCGTGGTTCGTTGTCTTCCTTCCCCGTTCTTTAACCAGTAAAACGAAGTTCACTCGCGTCTCACAGAGACTGAGCGCATGAGAGATGCACCGTAGCAACCAGAGACCCAAGACGAAGACCAAGCGAAGCGAGACGCTTAGCAAGCCTTGAGGGTGGAGTACTTGCAGGCGGAAGAAGGGCCGGAGCCGATCTTCTTGGGCTCGTTGCCGGGGGTGGTGCCCTGGAACTCGGTGCAGATCTCCTTGACGGAGGTGGCACAGGTGCCGGTGATGGTGGAGGTGTCACCCTTGTTGGAGTTGATGCCGGTGAGCATCTTGCCGTTGTAGGCCTTGACGTTCTTGACAACGACGGAGCGCTTGCCCATGGTCTTGCAGTTGCCGCAAGAGCGGTAGAGCTTGCCGAAGTCGACAACGGTGAAGCCGTCGATGGTGACGGTTCCGAGACCGTTGTGCTGGATGACCTTGTCCTCAGCGCCGCGGGCACCACTGTAGAGGTATTGTTAGCCGGTGAAGTGAGTATTGGAGTGAGCAGAACGTGACTTACCCGCCAATGACGGAGGCGTTGCCGTCACCCTTCAGGGAGAGAGCATCCTCGCAGACAGCAGTCCACCAGACGTTGTTGATGGTGCAGGAGCCCTTGCAGTGGACACCCTCGATCTGGTCGGCACCGATGATGGCGTTCTTGAGGGTAGCGCCGTTCTCGAGGATGAAGACGGCGTCCTTGTCGCCACCCTCAGCCTGGCCAGTGCACTTGACGCCACGGCCGTAGGTCTTCAAGCCACCGTCGAAGGTACCCTTGACGGACTGAGCGGCCTTGTAGGTGACGGTGCCCTTGGAGGCGGGGATGGGGAAGGAGGCGCGCTTCTCGATGGCGGCGGCGCCGTTGGGGCCAGACTGGCCACCGGGGGCGGCGATAACGGCAGAGGCCGAGATGGCAGCGAGGACAGCGGAGAACTTCATTTTGAAAGTGGTGGTTGGTTTAAGAAAACACGTAGAGTTGGAATTGTTGGATGAGTGTTGACAACGAATGAATAACCACCAGGGTTAAAGAATGTGAGTAGTTGGATTGGTAAAGGAGAGACGGTAGCGGAAGATGCTGATGAGAGGATAAAGAGGAAAGAAAAAGACGGTTGATGGGCGGGAAATCTGGACCTTCTTATATCGAAGAGTCGCTCTCGAGATGCTCCCCCCGAACTGGTGCCAAGTCCACACCACCATCTGCAAGTAGTGATCCTGATTCTGCAGTCCTATCCCTCAGCCAAGACTTTTCCAGTGGGACCTCGCATTTGGGCCAGCTCACAGACACAAGCTTTCGCCCAGGGCTGGGGTGATTGAGGCCCATCCAGAACATCCAATGTACCGCCCGGTCCACGATGGAGTGAGATTGAGTGCGATATGGCCTGCGCCGCGGCAAGTGATGGCACCAGGCTTCACATTGAGTTAACCGGGGTTTAGGGGCAAAAGTGCGGATGGAAGCTGGGCGCAAAAACAATCGATTCATTTCGGACACAGCTTTCCTTCCCTGTCGATATGATCCACCTTGCTATCGGAGGATGGTTCGGACGCTTCGGCGAGCCGCAACCTTCGCGCAGGAACAACATGTTTGGCTGATCACAGGGGCAGAATGACTGCCCAAAGAGGATGTCAAGGCATGAGCAGCGCCAAGGACAGGGCCGTTTGACTCTTAGATCTCCAATTTGCCCATCCGCTCAGGGGGGCATGATTGTGCAAACCCATCAGCTCCGTGGGCTAGTTGGCATAGTGTATTGACTGTATCCGTACCAGTCCAGAGACGGTTCACATTTCGTATTTGTCTAAAAAGTGGCGCTTTCTGCATTCTGGACCATGAAACATGTCAGGGGCTGTCACAGGGGTGATTGAGTGGTGAAAAAAGAATTAACCCATGTCAAAGATGAGTGGAGAGTCTTCTTTTTGGGGAGAAGTCGGGTGGTTTGAGGTTCGGTGAGGTCACGTTGCCAGCCGTTCGGAGTGAGCAGAAAAAATAAACGAGCAAAAAGTCGGCCATAATCCGCAATGTTTCCGTGCACTCGAAAGCAACGCTAGCGCGCGGGAAGCGCTCCCATTCGCCGCCACCCATGTTTCGGTTGTATATCGAAGGGAGATGAACTGGGGCTTCAGATGGAACCAACTTCCATTTAGATAAGACCCGTTACCTTGGTCCTGAGTAATTCCCGAGCTCACGGAAATGGAAATGCGTTGGGGACTTTGGCACCTTGACGGACGCCTCTGAGCTGGCATTGCCGAACTGGCAGCAAGCCGACTTGTTCTATCCGTAGCGCTCGTCTAACCCTGACCTTGATGCTAGAGCTTTTCTCGAATAACCTTACAAAGGTTAAGAGAATACGCATATGCTATCGATAGACTCGATATTGGTGGAGCGCGGCGCCAACTGAACCGAACCGCTTTATTGCCTGGGGCCAGGGATCATGACTTGACAAAGTCTTAAGCCGTGGCACGCCTGATATTACTGTTGGTCGCTCACTGGCCAGTTGGTGCGCTGCGCAAGTCATTACCCGTAACCTTCACCGCAATGCCCGCTAAAAGATCATGCTTTCCGTCCCCTGCTGAACTTTCGTGACCTTAATCGACTGTCCGGGGTACCGCTGACACTGACCGAGGACGGGCCAACTCTACAGCGGCTACGGGCAACGGCAGCAGGTTTTCTGACTCTGAGACAGTGTTGATTTAATCCGATTCAACATGCTACTGAAAGAGTCGTCTTCCGTCATATGTGGATCAAGCATTGAATCATTACACCACGGTCGCTGATGTCCAAAATGCCTAGGACCCCGCTAGTTTCAATGCGCCGCGCGATTGGTCAAACGATCTCCAGTTTCTGCAATATATCACCAACTTGTGCCGTCTGGAATGTGGGTGGACGTTACAGTCGCTGTAGGCAGAGTCGCAAACTGCAGTGCATCGCGGGGCGCGCGCAGCAACGATGGGCTTTTTGGGTTGTCCCTCAATGTCACCTGGCTGTTATCGGCCCTGGCCCCGACTTCCGTCACAATGAAACAAGGTAGAGAAGGAAAAATAGAGTCAGTCTCCGTCGCTCTATTGCCTGTTCTAGCGGTGTGTGATTCCAACGCGGGTACGGATACTGGGCAACAGGCACATGGAGCGGAGATCGGATGGCCTCAATCAACATTAACAACAAAGCCCATGGGGCCACAACGCTTGAACCCGGCAGCCTGGCAAGGGGGTGGTCCGTTGTCTGTGTGTGCCCCCTTTTCCCACCAATGTGCAGTCTCCATTTAGCTCGAGGAATTCCCACGGCACTTCTCCAGAAACGTGATGCCAAGACTTTTTGGAAAGGAGATGATGCCAAGACTGGACCTCTGCCAAGACTTTTTAGCATCCATCGATCTGCGCACTTTTCACACACGAAACCGAGGTCACTGACCAGCTCAGCTCTGCGCGACCATGACGAACGTCTTTTGGGTTTGCCAAATTCTGCTCGACGCGCTTCGTTGAAAAACTCTTTTTTTGCAGCTTCAGCCGCCACCGGACGGCCGAATTTGAGATTCAACGGCTTTCCCCCGGACGCTCCGAGAGGCCTCCCGCCTCGCCCGTCTGGAACCACGTCCGGCGAAAAAGGGGGCCGAATCCGCCGCTTACGGGGGTCGGAGTCGCCCGGCTAGAGCTGGCGAAAATGCTAACAGAGGGTCTGGAGTGGGTATTGTCCTTGGGCCATGTCCACCCCGAGATTGCGCCCCAAACGGGAGCAAGCATCGGTTGATGTGCCAAGTGGGCGCTGTATTCAGCGCTGCATACCAATCAAACAAGTCAAGCCTGGGGGTTAGGCTTGACTGTTTGACTGGATTTTCACTGAAAGCTTGCTTAACTTAATAGACTTAATTTGATTTAACTAATATTACCTATTTAGGAAGTTAGTAAGGCTTTTATAATATCTTAATATACTAGAAATATACCTATCTAGTATTATAATATTATTCTACCCTCTATTAACCTTTCTATTTAAAGTAATACCTATTAATAGTAATACTACTATCTTAAACCTAGTTCTAGAGGTATTATATCTCCTTAAGTAGTAATAGCTTTATTAATAGCTTCTATAATATTAGTATTAGTTTAGTAAAGCTAAATACCCTCTTATAGTTAGTTACTATTACTAAGATAGTAAAGATATTAAGGACTAACTTACTAAGTATTAAGAAGGTTTACTAATATAAAATCTACTACTAAATAGAATTATTAATAGACTAAGTAACTATAAGGTTAAAATATTTCTCTAATTTATTAATCTTATTAATAATAATATTATAAAAGCTACTATCTAATTATTAACTATAATTAGAGTTTTTAAGCTTTAGAGGTATTATAATTAATATAAATAACCTTTATAGAGGTTTTAAATAAGCTTACTTATTAGTATAAGTAGTTATCTTAATATATTACTACTCTTAATACTCTTAAAGACCTTCTTTAGTAATATAAAGCTACCTATAAATCTCTTAAGTATTTTAATACTTTTTAAGTTATTATAGACCTCTATTAAAGTATAATATTATAGTAGTAATATAAAGAGGAGACTTTTTAAGCTTTTTATAGTAATTATTAAGTATTTACTAGCTATTAATAATTAATAAGTATATAAATATATAAGAGTTAAAGTTAGTAGCTTAAGGGGGGTATAGCGATATAGTAATATATTTAGACTATAAATAAGTAAGGATATTATTAATTAATAAGGTCTATAAGATTAACGCTTAACTAGATTAATATAATACTTTTATTAATTAAGATTACTATAATAAGAGACTTTAAGATATTTATATAGCTATAAAGTTAATCTCTTCTATAATAGAGGTATTATAAAACTTATATTAATCCTTAAGTTAATCTAAGAGATACTTAAGACTTACTAAGATCTCTTAGAGTTAACTATACTTATTACCCTTACTTTAGTTTTTATATCACTTAGTTTATAAGTAGAGAGGCTTAAATATCTTATTTAACTTAGTGAGGACTTACTAATCTTTATTAATTAGGATATCCTTATTAGGGATATAATTATCCTTATTCTTAAGACCTAGAAAGTAGTATATATAACTAGTAATCTAGCTATATTTAAATAAAGCGTAGTAGATTATATTATATATTAAGTTTTATTAAGTAGTATTACTTAATATTAGATTTAGCTTTTATAATAACTCCTCTTATAGAGTAAAAATATACTTATTATTATTAGCCTTATTACTAATAGATAAGAAGGCTTCTAAGTATTATAGTAATAATCTAATATACTTAATAATATTCTAAAGCTTATTAATAGGTCCTCTAGTCCTCTAATAGGCTAAGTTTTTTTAGATCTTATTAGTATTAATAAGATAGTTAGACTTTTATTTAAATACTTCTTTATTAACTTTATAAATAATAGTATAACTAATAAGGTTAAGGATATAGCTATAGTATTAAATTTAATAATATTAGGTATTTATTTTTATATATAACTATGAAATAGATAAATATAAAGCTTTAATATAAGTACTATTAGTATTAGTATTATTAGAGATTATAATACTAATCTTATTAAATAAATACTAGTCTCTTATAACTATATATATTATAGTAGTAATATTCTTACTAGTATAAATACTAAGCTAGTAATAAAAACCTAAGAGGTATTATATTTATTTACCTAACTTATTAATAAAGTAGCTAAAGATAGTAATAATAGCATATTAATTAGGTAAGATCTATAGGTTAAATAATATATAAACTTTTATAAGAGCCTTCTATATCTCCTCTTTAATCTATTATTTCTTAGAGATATAGAGTTATTAAAGTTAATCCTTCTAATTAGTCTTTAACTAATATATCTAAGTATTAATATTATAATTAAATATAGTAAATATATACTATATATACTAATTACTAAATATTATAAGAGGGTTACTAGTATTAATAAAGAAGTT